GCAGGAGCATCTCCTTCCTCTGGTGCAAGAAATGGTTCATGAGCAGGGCATCTTTCAATATAGCAGGCCTGAATCAATGTATTGAAGTTTTCATGTAACACATTAGCAGCGGTGCTATTTTCTGCATGGTAATGAATAGATTTTAGCACGAGCGTTCAACTCATATTGGCAATCTAAAAAAAAGATGATAAGTGACTATCTCAAAAGCGTCTCAAGTTGGCCATATCAAATCAAAATGAAAGTGAAAGATATTTGTGAAGGATATAACTTCCACATGGGAAAAAAACACACACATGCTATTAATTCCAATCCGAAGAAGTATCAAGTTCTCTTCATCGGAAAAGAAGTATCAAGTTCTCTTCTCGCTAGAACTTGATGAAATCTAAGTTGCACAAATTGATAGATTAAAAAATCAAACATCCAAATACTAGAACATGATGAAAATCAAGTTGCACAAATGTAGAGTAGTAGTGGACGGATGCATATAAGGACGGATACATGTAAGAAATACATATAGTATTCTAAAATTTAACTCCTATGTCCTGACAATCAACTTGTCATGGATGCATAACAAACTCTGTTGATTACAATCCAATAGTTTTCAAAAAAAAATTATGACTGTAGAAGACACTGATAAGCCTCCAATTACGAAAGTATATTCGAGGAAGGGTCCAAAGATAAATAGAGAGTGAAGTCAAGGGGATAATTTTGGAAATATAACAAAGAAGGTAATGAGAATAGTATATGGTAGGTGTGTGGTTTTGGCATGGGATTTCATTCAGATTTTGTGTGATCTTTTGATCGTGTAGGAGAGAAATGGGCTCTCGAATTCCCATCTAGTTTTCTTCGATTTGTCATTGTAATCAATCCAGTTTTGCCATTAATACGATTACAATTGTTTGGGTCTATCAAATTGGTATCTGAGCAACCGATTCTGATCGACCATGCCTCCCAAATCTCAAGCCGATCAATTGGACGCGTTGGAAGAAAGTGTTCAGGCAATTCGCACCGATTTGACAGGGAACACCAAAAGAATCGATGATTTAGATCAAAGGATTCAATCCATTGTGGGGAATTTGGATGCGTTGATACAACAAGGGCCGAAGGTCTCATCTCCAGCGGGCACATCTGGTGGTTCATATCAATCACGTGGATCTGGTGGTAATCCGGTTGCGAAACCAATAGGTGATGTTAATTTTACTTTCGTTTCTTCTCCAGAGACGATTAGTTCCCCAAAACCAACAACTCAAGGATTTATTCCATCCAATTGGAGATTACGACGTGTAGAGTTACCAATGTTCAATGGAATTGATCCGGATGGGTGGATTTTTCAGAGCCAAATGCTATTTCGCACTACAACATT